AAAAAATATTTTCTGTCATATATTGTATTAATAAATATTTGAGTGAAATTTGGTAGGTTTGAGTTTTTTAAGTTTAAGATAGAGTTAGGTATGCGATTTAAACAATTGATATTTGGATTTAATTTGGATTGATTTGATTTTGACTTAAAATTTTTAAAAATAATATTATTTACAATTTTTTAGAACATCTTGTCAAAGATGTAAAATAAATGAAACTATCTTTTAAACATTACAAAACCCAATTTAACCCAAACCTTAATCCAAACCTAAATTAAATCCTTGTAAAATGTTATGTGTTTTATTATCATGTAATATATTTTATTATCAAATAATAAGTAGAAAAAAAAATAAAATAGAAAAAAATTTTTATAATTTTCTATGATTAATATGATAGCATATATTGATTTTTTTATATTATATACAATATTCTGAAAAATTAAGATGATCTTAAGTTTTTTAAATGAAATGCTATATTTTTTATGCCATATGAAAGATAAATTTATCTATATAATAAATATTTCTTATCTTAAAAATAAAAGATGAAAGAAATATTCTAGATTTGTTTATACTATTGCGTTCAAAAATTTTTTATTATATATAGTATTATATATATAAGTACATAAAGTTACAGAAAACATGTTCAATACGTCTTCTTTAAATATACATCATATTTTATATATTGCATTTGGATTTTCGCTAATATTATTGTTTAATATAATACTTTCAAAATATGGTACAAAATATAATATTAAATATAGATTGTTAAAAATATTTTAACATTGATGCGATAATTGCTATAATACAAATAATGTAGACAATAAATAATAAGATAATATAATTATATAAATTATATTATATTATATTATTATTATTTGAAATTGAATATATTTAGCTATAGTATTAAAAAATTTGGATTAGATTAGAGATTGAACCTGTTGAAATTATAGTTTAATTTATTTTGGACAAAACATAGATTTGAATTATCATGAAATTATATTTAATTTTGATTTTAATTCAAAATCGAACATACCAAATTTCATAAATCAAATCTATTAAATTTTTAACTGAATGTTAAAAAAAATAACACATACGTAACTGTTCCAAACTTAATCCAAAATAATTTATAATCTTAATCAAAATAAGCTATAATTTAAGTCAGATCTAAACTTAATCCAAACTTATTTTAAAAATATAATATATAAAATTAAAAATATTTTTACATAAATGTTTAACTTAATAATAATTCATAATCTTAAAAGTTATATAATTTAGATTCAAAACTTATTCTAAATTTTAAAAATAAAAAATCACGTTTAGAATCGAAAATATTTTTTATATTTTTAAGCTAAAGTCAATCAGTGATTATATGCGGGTTATAAAGAAACCATATATTCCAAAATTATTTATATATTTCCATTTTTACAAGATTTTTTGACAGATAAAAAGATCTATTTATTTCGAATTCAATTACTTTATCTCAATTTGTCATGATTTATACGAAACGTCATATTTTTTTACTTTCATAGTCAAATTAATAAAAATTAATAGAAGAAAGAAAGATTTTTTGAAATTTCTCACGTAACTGTTGAAGTCAACCATTTTAAATTTTAAGTTAAGAATTATGATCACTTTATAAGCAAAGTTACTCAGGGCATTGACCTTGGCAATATAAATATCTGAAGATTATTGAAACCGGTAAGGTAATCTGTATTTCAAATAATTAGTGAATAAAACATAAGGTAAGATATTAATTTTCGAAAGAATTTTTCAACAGAATATATCTATTTCATTATAAATGAAATTACAGATTCTTGTTAAAAAGTATTGGATATTAAATTATTTTATATTTTAATTTATATTTATACTTTGTTCTTATTAATTGATTTTATTTTTCAAAAATCATAACAATGCATTTTCAATAAAAAATTAAAAAAAGTTTTTTCGAAATAACAAGACGATTTAAATAAATATTTTGCAATATGACAATGATATCATACAATATTAAAATTATTCGATAAAAAATAAATGAATAGGAAATTCATCAATCTTCAGACATTATACTTTTCATTTATTATTAATTTTATTTAATTTCATCAGTGCAATATGGTTTAAAAGAAAAACTGTTGAAAAATCGCGAAATAAAAGTTAATTAAAGATGAATTAATTAAATTGATATTATTTAAATTAAGTCTTTAACCAATGTTATAATAATATAACACTTTTTTTTTTAAAATTTGTAAAAATCGATTGTACTTAATTTCTTTTATTCATATTTTTAAAATATACTTTTTAATAAAGCTATTATATATATAAACTATTAATAAGATTTATTTTAATTTTCTATAAATGTTTATTTTAAGTATTTTTCAAATCAAATTTCTCAACTAAAATTTTTATTTCATTTAATTCTTTAATTTGCAGAAATAATTTCGAGTAATTTCTATAAATAAAAATTTATCTAATCTATCTAATATAAAAGTTTAATATGACTAATTTTAATTTCAATGTAACAAAATAATGTGTATATATATATATATATATATATATATTTACAATTTTTAAGGAACGATTTAATGATTTATAAACCTAAATAAATTTTAAGAAAAAAAAATAAATTTATTAAATATTTTTAAATAAAATTATTTGAATATTATAATAAATAATATAAAATATGATAAAGAATTCTCAAAATTAATATTGTAATACTAATGAATTTTTCAAATTAATGTTGAACTATTAATGGATAATGCTGAAGATTAAAGGGTTTTACCACTGACTATATTGTTGGCAGAGAAAGAAAATGCGAAACAGTAGCATTTTCTCGCGATTCTTAACCTTTTCTTAGAAACAGTCCGCAATTTCCCCCTTTTTCTTTCATCTAAATACCGCGTGCATATGCGCGTAGATATAAGTACATGCATATAAAATGTAGATGTCGCAATTTGTTTGAAAGTTTTTAATTTCGATTTTGAAATTGATTCAATATGTATATAAATATGATTCGATTAATTGTTGAAAAAAAAGGAAAAAATTATTGGAATAATTATATTCATATGTATTAATATTGGGCGAATATTACATACAAGAGATGATTACTTTATATAGAGTATTAATATATTTGTATAACATCATCAAGAGTTGATTCTAAAGATCAAAATAAACACAAAAGTTAGTACACAAAAATGTCGATTATGGTTTATTTATTAGGTTATGAAGCAATTGAAATTTGTATTAGATGAAACAAGATGAATATAGATTGAGATAATTTTATATCTGTTATACTATTATTTATTATATATTATTTATACTATTATTAATTCATTTTGTCTTCGTCTCATTCTAATGCAAATTTTAATTGTTTATAACTTAAAAGTCTTAATCGACATTTTTTTGTTTTAATTTTTAAAATCAATCTCAAAATTTATAAATAAATTTATAATAATATATAAATTTAATAAATATATTTATTAAATTTATTATAAATAAATATATTAATATCCTGTATAAATGAATTTGACGGTTCAAATATTTAGTTTAATTTTATATAGTGATTCATATTAATTCAGGCACTATTATGT